TCCGCGGGGTTGGGGATGGAGCCGGGGCGGTTTGGGGAGAAGAGCGGCAGTTGCTGACGGGAGACGAGTGGCTGCCTATAAATACCTGCCAGGGAGCAAGGAAGAGGTGGGTGGATTATCCTCCTCACTCAATGAGATAAATGGTTCTGAAGCTTAAACACAGAACAATTTTAGTCTGAATAGTAGGAGAAACGGTTCAGGATGCGGAGATGACGGCACTAACCGCCCGCAGTGAGCGGCGGGGTCCCGGTGCCGCTTGGCAGCATCTTCACTGCCCCTTTGCCATTGCCCGGGGTCTCGTGCCACGGGGGCCTTCGCTGGGACTCAGCCGGGCTGCACGGTGTTCCTCCCCGCTTTGAAAAGCTCCTTCAAGAACACCCGAAACAACTGAGCCGGGAGACGGTTGGAGGGCGCTGGGAGGGCGGTTCTGGCTTCCTTCGGGCACGGCGCTGGCTCCTCTCCCCTGCTGCTCCAGGGCTGCACCGTGGAGGCAGGAGCGGAGCTGCTGTGCCGGGAAAAGGCCCCATTTCTGCTCTGGTTTGACTCAATCTGGCACGCGGCTGCATCGGCACGACTGGCATGGGCACAGAAGGCAGCCAAGGACGTGGGGCCTCAACCCCGGCTGTGTCAGGCTGGTGGCATCTCTTGCGGCATTGGCACCATCCCCCCATGTCCCACTGTCCCCCGCTGTCCCCGTGAGCGTGCAGAACCAGCTGGAAACGAGCCCTCGCTGCCTGGCGCCGCTGCTGCCCCGCTTTGCTGCTTACATCAAACCCAACGTGTTTTCAGAAGCGTTTCAATTTTTAATGAAAACTTCTGCGTTTACGCTGGTTTGGCCTCGGCGCGTTGGTATTTTATATGTTCCCCGGGACCGGCGTTGGCTCTGCGCTCCCGTTAGCCTTGGCAGAGCGGGGCGCGTCGCACCGAGCCAGCAGGAACGGAGGCGCCGGGGCAGGATCCCGCAGGCAGGGGTCCTGGTGTGGTGGGACACCCGTTTCCGATGGATGTTTCTCGGTTGCCGGTTGGAAAGGAGTGGCCTGGAAAACCCAACGGACTTAGCCAAGGGAAAAAACAAACAGTCCTTGACTTGGCGAGCCCTTTGAAGCAGCCGTCAGTCCTTCACCTCCTCTCTCCCATCCCACCGGCAGGTTTTTTTTTCTCAAACCCCAACTTTGCCGACTTGAATAATTGCATTTCAACACCGCTTAATTAAGAGGCATTGACGAGCATGATTGTAAATTCAAGTGTAGACAAAATTCTTCTTGCAGGATGCTGGGAGCTGTTTTTAGTCATGCATCCATCGAGCTGCTGCGCTGATCCACCTCCACCTCCAGCACCCAGACGCTGAAATGGTGCTCCTCTTCCAGGAGGCCAATAAAACACTATGGAGATGAGCTGCTTTGGAGATCTTATGAGTCAAGCCGTTACATTTTTGGAACATCATGATGTTGAAGTTCCTTTTCTATTTTTTGCCCAACTTCCCGGGGAAAAAAAAAAATATAATAAATTAAGAAGCTGAGCTCTGCTTTGGGATGAGAGGCAGCACGGTGGTGGAAAGAAAAGAGGGAGAGGTTGGAGATGAGGCTCAGCCTTGTTGGGAAAGGGCTGGGAGGTTCCTTGTGCATCGGGCAGGACCTTGACCCCAGGATGCTTCGTGGGTGCCCGGCACCGTTTGGGGTGGCTGTCACAGACCCTGCGTGGCCGTGGCACGGGGCTCAGCCCCGGGGGCATCGCCCGGGCTCCCTCCCGCGGTGGGACGGCTTGCACGCAGCCTCCGGCACGGCCGCTCTCAGCCTCCATCTTTAACACCCGTACGGGTGTTTCGCGGGCGGCGAGCCCACGGCTGCAGCCACTGAGCGCCCACGCCGCGTCCCCGGCTGCCCGCACCCCCAGCTCTGTCCTGGCACCGATCGGACCCCCGGGCACCGCAGGTCCTGGAGGCAAGCGGGATTCATTTTGAGCGGGAGTTTTTTCCCCCCCACAGTGAGACGCCGCATGAAAAATCTAAATATAAACCAGCACCCGCTCGGCTGCTGTCCCATGATTTTTGTCAATCTGCTACAAAGTCAAAAGCAGCCGGATTTATCTGCCGAGGTACCCACCGGCCCTGGGGGGTTCATGTCCCCGCTCGGGGCTCGCTCTGCGCAGGGCGGTCGTGCTGCGCTCTCATGTGCGCTTGCGGCGTGGGGCGGCTCGGCGGGGCACCGGGTTCGCGCTTTTGGGAGATGATGGAGGGCGATGCAGCGTCCTGAAGGCATCAGAGGAGATCCCGGGGTGGTTTCGCTGCCGCGGTGGTGTGGCGGGTGAGTCCCAGCTCGGCTGTCGTTGCGGGGATGGCAGGGGCGAGGAAAAACTGCCGCTGGTTTGTTGGGAGTGAGGAACGTCGGTGCTGTCGTCCGTGCGCCGCCGGTCAGGTTCTGCACCCGAGCGTCTGGCACCCTGGTAGGCGAAAGCCGAGAGTCGGTGCCGATGGATGGTCAGAGGTATATGGCGGAGGGATTTGCTGCGGAGTCATCGTGTCCCGCTTGGTGCCTGCCGCATGGCCCTGGCCCCGCTCGGGAGCATCGCTGGCTCGCAGGCGGGTTCGGCTCTGCTGGGGGCTTCAGTGCTCTGCGAAGGCAGGAGGGTGGAAGGGACAGGGCCAGCTCCTGGGGTCCCCACTGGGGACCACGGCAGCAGCGGGGAGCCCCAAAGGGCCTCAGCTCCTGTCCTGCGTGGTGGCTGTGAACACACCAGGGCCGAGGAAACGTGTGTGTGTGTGTGTGCATGTGTGTCCATGTCCCTGCCCTCCTGGCTCTGCTGTGCCCCGAGCCCTCACGTTGCCCCCAGACATCCCCCGGCATCAGAGGCCTGGGGGCCGCTGCACCCTGCCGGCTGCAGCCCCTGCCCAGGCTGGAGCATCCTCTCCAGAGCCATTGGGTTGGTGGCCCCTGGGGACAGAGGGGTGGCACTCAGCGGGCGCTGCTCAGCACTGCCCCGAGCAGCCCGGTGCCCCTTTGCAAGGCGCCGGTGGCTCCCAGCTGTGGGGACGGGGTGGGATGGGATGGGGTGCGGTGGCTTTGCAGCACCCACCGAAAGCAGTGACGTGCCTCTGCCTTGCAGTGCAGCCATGAGCGCGGGTTCGATTGAGCAAGAGCCGTCGCGCAAGCTGGCCTGCTGCGGGGTGCCCCTCATCACCGAGGACATGCAGTCCCTGGCCATCCGCACCCTCTCGGGCACCGACATCAGCAAGCACTACGACCTCATCCGTGAGCTCGGCAAGGGCACCTACGGCAAGGTGGACCTGGTGTCCCACAAAAGCACAGGTGAGGGGAGTGGGGGGGATGCGGGGGACGCGGCTGCGCTGGGACCAGGGTGCCCGGCACGTCCCAACCATGCCCCAGGCTCACCCCCATCCCCTGCCCACCGCAGGCACCAAGATGGCCCTGAAGTTCGTCAACAAGAGCAAGACGAAGCTGAAGAACTTCCTGCGGGAGTTCAGCATCACCAACACGCTCTCCTCCAGCCCCTTCATCATCAAGGTCTTCGACGTGGTCTTCGAGACCGAGGACTGCTACGTCTTTGCTCAGGAGTACGCCCCCGGCGGGGACCTCTTCGACATCATCCCGCCGCAGGTGGGAGCCTCCGCCCCTCCCGTGGGAGCCTTTTTGGGATGTGGGGGCTCAGTATCCCTGGGCGCTGAGCAAAGCTGCCGCTGTGCTTCGGTGGCCATGTGGGAGGGGGCTCCATGCGCGGGGACCGGGCATCCCCGTATGGGTCAGCCCCGACCACAAGCACCTACAAGCAAGTCTGGGACCCATCACCCATCTCCTGGGGTGGCCTGGGACCCATCACCTGTCCCTAGAGCGGTTTGGGACTCATCACGCATCCCTTGGGTGGCCTGGGACCCATCACCCATCCCTAGGGTGGCCTGGAACCCATCATCCATCCCTAGGATGGTCTGAGACCCATCACCCTTCCCCTGGGGAGCCTGAGACCCATCACCCATCCTTAGGGTGGCCTGGAACCCATCACCCATCCCTAGGATGATATAAGACCCATCACCCATTCCTAGGGTGGCCTGAGACCCATCACCCATCCCTAGGATGATCTGAGACCCATCACCCATCCCTAGGGTGGCCTGGGACCCATCCCCCATCCCTAGGGTGGCCTGGGACCCATCACCCATCCCTTGGGTGGCCTCAGACCCATCACCCATCCCCTGGAGGTCCTGAGACCCATCACCCATCCCTAGGGTGGCCCCGGACCCACCACCTGTCTCCCTGCCGCAGAGAGCACCCCAGACAAAAGCAGCCGCGACCACGTTGGATGCGTAATGACACACGGATATGGTGGTCCCCGAGCCGGGTGGGATCACCACGGGGTTCGGTGGCGGGTGGTTGACGCCGTGTCCCCGCACCCGCAGGTGGGGCTCCCCGAGGAGCTGGTGAAGCGCTGCGTGCAGCAGCTGGGCCTGGCCCTCGACTACATGCACAGCAAGAGCCTGGTGCACCGGGACATCAAACCGGAGAACGTCCTGCTCTTTGACCGCGACTGCCGCCGCGTCAAACTGGCCGACTTCGGCATGACCCGCAAGGTGGGCTGCCGGGTCAAGCGCATCAGCGGCACCATCCCCTACACGGCGCCCGAGGTCTGCCAAGCCGGCCGGGCGGAGGGCTTCGCTGTGGACACCAGCATCGACGTCTGGGCTTTTGGGGTGCTCATCTTCTGCGTCCTCACCGGTAACTTCCCCTGGGAGGCGGCGGCGGCTTCCGACGCCTTCTTCGAGGAGTTTGTGCGGTGGCAGAAGGGGCGGCTGGGGGGGCTGCCATCGCAATGGCGGCGCTTCACGGACAGCGCCCTGCGCATGTTCCAGCGCCTGCTGGCCCTCGACCCCGAGAAGCGCTGTCCCGTCAAGGAGGTCTTCTACTTCATCAAGTGCGACCTGATGGCCGAGGTGCGGCGCCGACCCTCCTACCGCTCCCGCAAGCACGCCGGGGACAAGCTCCCGGCCGGTCCCCATCGCCACGAGGCGGCCAGCTCCTGCACCCCGGCCCCGCTCAAGAGGACCGTCCTGACCGAAGGGAGCGGACCCCGCGGCTCCGAGCCGAGCGCGGCCCCCCCGGGGACGGCGAGCAGGACAGACGGACGGCAGGACAAAGGCAAAGGGCAGATGGTCCTGGCCACAGCAATAGAGATCTGCGTCTGACAGCGCCGGGGCGGCACGCGGCGGCTGCCCGTCCTGTCCCCCCACCCCGGGGGGTTGCTCGTGGCGGTGGCACGAGCCGGGACCAGGCTCCGGGTCTCCCAAAGCAAAAAAAGAAAAGAAACAAAAACGAAGAGGAAAAGGACAAAACTGGTTGCGCTCCGTAGCGCCGAGGATGCTGATCCCCCCACCCCACCCGGGTGAGGCTGGTGGCGGGAACCCGGCCAAGGGCACCGCTCGCTGCCAGGGAGGCCGCCGGTGCCCCGGCCCCTGCCATGGCCACGCTGCCCTCTCCAAGGCTCCCACCGCGGTGGCATGAAGAGGGGTCTCCCAATAGGGGAGGAAGAGCCGGAGGGGCTGTGTGGGTGGGTGCGAGCGCCCAGGGGTGGGGGGCCGGAGCACCCAGCGCCCACCGGCTCTCCCCCACCCCGTGGTCGGCCCCCGGCCGGGGTGAGGGAAGGCCAATGACCCCGCAGCATGGAGGAGGCCTTTGGGGAGATTTGGGTGGGTGGTGATTTGCCCCCTTCCACCAGTCCCTGCTTCACTGGTGGGGACTGGGAGGGGACAGAGAGGTGGGTGCCAGGCTGGTGATGGGAAGCTGGGGGGGGCGCCGGCAGCCCGGGGCCCCCCGGCAGCCCCGGCTGCCTCCCTGCTGCGGGAGGTGCTGGCAGCCATCGATGTAGCAAGTGTCCCCGTCTGTGTGTTGTCGTGCGTCCCAGCCACAGCCGCTGGCAGCCCAGCCCCTGTCCCCCCTGCCCGGCCCCGCTGGGTGGCCGCAGACCCCCGGACGGAGGGACCGGTCCCCTCCCAGCCGGGAGCTGAGCTCCAGGCTTCGGCCGGTGGCCGCGGTGCCAGCGGGTCGGAGGCTTGGGGACAGGCTGGCTCTGCTGTTGTAGCGTCCCCTTGTCCCCTCTGCAGACTTTTTGTACCCAGGGACTGGAAAAGGTGATGGTGGTGGCACATCTGCAGGGCAGGACCTGGGGAGCAGGGGAGGGGGTTTCAAGTGGCCTCCTGAAGGTCCCCGTGGCTCCCCGCGCTGTCCCCATCACCCTCCTTGCTGTCACCCCTTCCCCAAACCCCGGTTCCCCTCCCCTGGGGCTGGCGGGGAGGAGGCAGCGGGGTGAATTGCCCCGGGCTGGCTGCAGCGAGGGGGGGTGGCGGTGGGAGGGGGCGCTGGGGGGCCCCTTGGGGCAAGGGCATGGGG